CAACAACGTGCGTTGCATGCAGAAATGCATGCAAGCTAGCCCCGTATTGTGGAAACAAGGGTATGTGCACACATGCACACATGCACGCATGCACACATGCACACATGCACACATGCACACATGCACACACACATGCACACATGCACACATGCACACATGCACAAGGACATGCAAGCACACCTGGTGGCAGTCGCAAGAAGGCCACACTCGATCACACCAGTTAAGCTGCTGCCTTTGATCTGCACCCTTCGATTTGCACCCTCTGATCTGCACCCTTTGATTTGCACCCTCTGATCTGCACCCTCCAATCTGCACGGAGCAGCCTTCTACTATCAGAGCCACCACAAGGCGCATGCCATCATCCCACCAACGCCTTTCGATGCGCCTTCCACGTTCGTACATTCAACACTCTTTAAACCTCAATTCTCTCACTCCTCCTTCCCTTGCTCTCCACATCCTCTTTCCAACACCCAGTTGCTACCCTCACACCCCCCTGCTCTCCTCACCCCGCTGCTCCCCTCACCCCGCTGCTCCCCTCACCCCGCCGCGCATCGCATGCACCCATTCGCACCACACAGCTCGCCGCCATGCCCTGCCCCCCATTTATTTATCCCAGAATATCCCACTTATTCCATTCATCCCTCACCGCTCGCCTTAACCAATGACCATGACCCCCCTGGTCCCTTCCATGCATGCCGGGAATCCGCCTCCCCCGCCAACCCCACCTCCCCCACCTCCCCCACCTCCCCCACCTCCCCCTACCTCCCCCACCACTCCCACCACCTGTGCCACAGCCCCCACCATTGTCACCATCGCCCTCGAGCAACCCTGGTTGCAAGGCTGAAACTCAAAGGGATAGGCTTCAGATTTCACGGTCGTTGGAACGCCTTCACTCAGTCACTCGCATCGCCTCCCACTCAAATAAACACCACCTCGTTCGACAGGCATCGCCCATGCGTGCGTTCAAATAAACACCACCCCGTGCGTGCGCGCTGTCGCGGCCAGGCTTGGAGCGAGCAGGCAGGCTAAGCCTCTTGTGACTGAGCAGCCATAAAGCGAGCATGCTGAGCCGTCAAGTGTAACCCTGCCCTGTCGATCTTCAAGTGTAGCCCTGCCCTGTCGATCTTCAAGTGTAGCCCTGCCCTGTCGATCTTCAAGTGTAGCCCTGCCCTGTCGATCTTCAAGTGTAGCCCTGCCCTGTCGATCTTGAACTCACCGGTTTACGCACCGAGCCCGAACCCTCGGCAGTCACTCAGCATGCGCGCATTCGCACCACACGTCTTGCCCCAGCCATCCCCACCATCCTCTTGCTCCCCACAACACCGATCACCATCTAGCACGAGGCCACTCACTCCACCCTGCTCGCCGCACCACCCTGCTCGCCATCGCCATCGTCTGTCCCCGAGGCAGTCACTCCGCGCCATCACCGGCGGGGCGCGGTCGCGGCACGAGCACGATGATGCACGCTCCTCCCACCGCGTTTTGAGTCGTCTCAAAAGTCAGCGCCTGTCCCCTCAACTGTCACTCCGCGCCATCGATGGCAGGCCAGGGCACGAACATGATGATACGCGCCCTCCGCACCGGGCCACTGCCACCGCACAGAGGGGAATTTCCAGTCGACTCAAACATCAGCGGCAGGGCGAGGCACGAACACGATGATACACGCACACCGCACCGCCACTGCCGCACCCACCATCGTCACCACCGCTAAGCCAATTTACCCTTGGCTGTCACTCCGCGCCGTCAGCGGCAGGGCGAGGCACGAACATGATGATACACGCTCCCCCCACCGCCACCGCCGCCCCCACCAAGTCCCACACGTCCGGAGCCGTCCGATCGACGGCCCAGCCCCACAGCAGCGCGAGCAGGATGAAGATCCCACCGTACGCTGCGTACGTGCGCGCGAAGGAAGCATCCTGGAAGGTGGCGACCAATCCGTAACCGAAGAGGATCGCGGCGCCGAGGAAGCACCAGGCCCAATGCCAGCCGTTGATTCGCCACTGCCACACGAACCAGCCGCCGCCGATCTCGAGGATCCCCGCCGCGACGAAGAGCGCGAGCGACTTGAGAACGTCGAGCGGCGCGTACTTCATGGCGCGATGCGTGCGTGCGAGCGTGCGTGCGTGCCAGATTGGACACGAACAGGGCGATGCTAGATCGGCTTGACGACGTCGAGCGGCGCGTACTTCATGCCGCAGAGCGTGCGTTTTCGAACTGCGAGCTAGATCCCGAAAATAACTGTGGGTAAAGTCAGGACGACTCAAAAGGCCGCGACTAAGGGACGTCGAGCGGCGCGTACTTCATGCCGCGATGACGTAATGCCGCCCGCAATGCGTCAATGCCGCCGCTGCGTGCGAGCGTGCGTGCGTGCGTGCGTGCGTGCTGGATCGGAAACGAACTAAGCGTGGCTTAGGTCAGGGCGATGCCGAACGGGACGGCGTGTTTTGAGTCGCCGACTAATGAATTGACTTAAGGACGTCGAGCGGCGCGTGCTTCATGCCGCATTGCCGACGGTGCGCGCGATCTACCTAGGTCGGACACGGACTAAGTGTGGGTAAGTTCAGGGTGATGTCGAATGGGACAGCGTCACGCCAGAGTATTTGTTACTCGTTCATGCCGACCTCTGATGCTGGACGCGCAACGAAAGTATTCCTAGCTCAGCAGAGTATTCCGAGAGAGCGCACCCAGAAACTTAGGCTCCTATTCTGGCGGAGCCTCGAACCTTGGTAAAGAGTGAGTTGTGATGCGGTTTTTTGAAATACTGTAGCAAACAAGTTGCGAGAAAAATTGACGGAAGTTCGTACCAGGGAATGAACCGAGCTAGATTTGTAGGTTGTTGCAAAGCAGAGCGGTAGGTCCAATTTCAACCGAATCTGACACTCGGGGTACGCAACTCGACTCAAAGTCGAGCCAGGTCTCATTTGGCGTGCTAGAGCTCAGATCGTGTTTGCGTGTGCTTGATTGTGTCATACCATCTGGCGCGTGTCTCGTACAGCACGTCGTGAAGATGGCAGGTTGGCGCTGTTCTGATGTCATTCTTTCATGCCAGTGCAAGTTTCGTTCCAAGGCTTGTGCGCACCCACGGCTACGTCGTGTTGCATTTTTTCACTTCCGTGGTCCGTACCGTGGGCTGTCCAGTTAACCTTTTTCGTTATGAACTGCGAAACGTTTCGCCTGCTAACATGCGACGTCGTAACAGTACGTACCACAGATGAAACATTTTACATATTTCCGCGTACATAGCCATCCGAACGACTCCCGTCCGTCTGCCGGACAGCGCAAATCTGTTCACGAAGAAAAAATCACCCAATCCGAAGTCTTACGACGCGACTTACCTTGAACGAATTATAGTAACCAGTATTCTTTGTGTTACAATAGGACACTGTTCCCAACTCAAGGGAAAATGTTCCAGATGCCCGCCCAGACTAGCCTCCGTCCGGGCGTGAGGCCCGAACCGTCCGTACGCGTATTGAGTACGGTCAGCGGACCGTCGTCAGGACAAAACGGCTAAAAAACAAATGTAACACGCCCTTAATTCCTGTCACCTAATTTGACCTGCAGAATCATCTCGTTACGCACAACTGACGTTGCATGGCAAAACCATGCCACGACTCGAGCTGCTGAGATGATCAATGTCTCCCCACATGCTCATGCCACGTGGCATACCCTCGACGCCCCGGACTGAATTCATCGCAGGTTCGGCTTTTGTTAGGCTGGACGCCAACGTCCCAGCCAGCCTGGCAGCGGCGGCAACCGAAGCATCAAGAGCCAGCGACCAGCGACGCGACCTCGGTTCATGGAGGTTCGGATTCGCCCGAACGCGCGCCAGGCTTGCGCCTGGGAAATGTCGACGGCTCTGCCCTACCAAATTCAGAGAGCGTGCGGCTCGAGCATGCGGCTCGAGCATGCGGCTCGTGGGCGCGCACGAACGAGGGAACGAGGGCGGCGACAGAGTCAGAAGGCGCCTCAGAAGTCGCTCCGTGGGGCGTGCGACGGTGGGAAGGGGCTGAATGGACATCACTCGAAGGGGCCTTAGGAAAGTGCTCCGTTGGGCGTGCGACGGTGGGAAGGGGACGGCGGACTCAGACGGGTTCTGCGGGATGCATCTCAGCTGCGCGCAGTCGCTCACACTATAGTGTGAGACGATGATTCGGTCAGACAGACGTTCCGCTGACATTGGTTGTATCGTGTTCCTGTCCGTTTGTTCACCCTAACATCGGCTACCCGGAAGATCCGCTAGTACCGTATCCGATCCACAGCAAGCCGTCGTGAGTCGATGTTTGAATATCAAATCAGCTAGTGTCGTCGGACACACAGGAAGCCGTTGTGAGCGATTTCGTGTCTGGCTCGAGGATCAAATCAGCTACCGTATTGGACACGCAGGAAGCGTCTCGAGGCCAGGAAGCAGTAGCGGGGTGGAAGGGCACGGGGGACGGGGCGTGAGTGCGCGCTGCGTGGGGGGAAGGCACGTGAGTGCGCGCTGCGTAGGGGGGAGGCGCGTGAGTGTGCGCTGCGCGGGGGAGAGGCGCGTGGGGGGAAGGCGCGTGAGTGCGCACTGTGCGCCGCTGCAGGAGCAAAAGGGGGCAGAGGAAGTGCCAAGGACAGGGAGTGTGGGAAAGCTCCGATAGGGGCAAGGCAAGAGGGCGGTGTGGCAGCAGCCTGCATGCGGCGGAGGAGTGGGGATGGGTGGGCGTTGGTGGCGAGCGGTGGTGGGGCGCCTGAGTCTCATGCAGCGAGGCAAAGCGCCCCTGCGGTGCAGCCACAGCCACAGCCGTGATCCCTGGCAGGGTGGGCGCGCTGGGGGAGCCAAGGGGCTTGTGGGGGTGGAGGGGTTTGGGGGGGCGGGGCACATGGGCGCACCAGGGGGTGTGCGGGCGGGGGGATTTGCGCCAGACAGGGGAGGGGGGTGGGGGTCGCTGCTGGGTGTGTGTGTTGCAGCGGCGGCTGGGTGTGCGGTGGTGGAGTTGGGGGTGGGAAAGGGAAAAGAGGCTGCTGGCGTGATGGCGGATGCATGGAGGCATCTGCAGGGGGATTTGCTTCTGCTGCGGGTGGAGTGTGCTGACGTGGCTTGTCTTAGTACTAGTATCAAATCTGATGATAGCGAATTATTCTTGAAAAAACAGGAATCTGGTGATGCTGGTGGGGCAGGTGGGGCAGGTGGGGCTGGTGGGGCTGGTGGGGCAGGTGGGGCTGGTGGGGCTGGTGGGGCTGGTGGTGGAAATGAGAGCAACAGGAGCAGCAGCAGCGTTGCAAGCACCAGCAATGAAATCGCTGATGGAAAGTCCAGTGATGGCGCTGTGGGCAGGAAGCAGGTGGTGGTGCTGGGGTCGGGGTGGGGTGCGGTGAGCTTCCTTAAAGCCATAGACGCGCATGGGTACGATGTGACGCTCATCTCGCCCCGCAACTTCTTCCTCTTCACGCCGCTGCTGCCAAGTGTCACCACGGGAGTGGTCGAGGGCAGAAGCATTGCCGAGCCAATCAGACGCATCCTGCTGAGGGTGAGTATCTAATCAGGTGCTACCAGCAATGCCATGCAATCATTGTCATTGTTGAGTGCAGTGGCAAAGCCTTCTCTCGTGACTTATCCATCCCTTTTCTCCTGCTGCCCCTCGCCCCACTCACCTCCTCTTCCGCCCACCCTGAACCTTCCTATTGCCCTCCTATCAGCAGGGCTACTCATCTCGTTTCATTGCAGCCAGCTGCTCGAGGCGGGCCAGCACTGGAACTTCAAGGCCGTCTCCCCCTCATTGTATTGACCACTGCCCTCCACATCCACCCTGCGCCCACACACATCCCCATTGCTTCATTCCTCCCCCGACCCCCCTGTGCTGGCAGCAGGGCAGCTCGGCTCGTTTCCTAGAGGCGAAGTGCATTGCCATCGACCTCGCCTCCGACCTGCAACTGGCTGTCCTCCCCACCCACCCCGCCCTCATACCCTCCTGCGCCCTTCATTGCGTCCCCCCCCCTTCCCTGCTGGCAGCACGGCAGCTCGGCGCGCTTCCTCGAAGCTGAGTGCACGGCCATCGATCCCGCCTCCAAAACCCTCTCCTGCCGCGCTCCTGCTGCCCTGCCCGCTCCACTGCCCATGCCGGCTGTGGTGACGCTTGGAGGTCAGGAGGCGGGTGACGGGGAAAGAGGAGGAGAAGGAAAAGGAGAAGGCAGTAATGCCTCGGGTGGTGGTCGTGGTAACGCTGCTGCTGCTGCTGCTGCTGCTGGGGTTGGTGGTGAGGCTGCTGCTGGGAAGGCTGCTGCTGGGAAAGCTGTTGCTGCTGGGGATATCTCTGGCGGTGATGCGAGGGGAGAAGGTGGGGGTGGGTGTGGCGGCGCCAGGGAGGTTCACTTCACAGTGCCGTATGACATGCTGGTGGTGGCCGTGGGTGCCGTGCCCAACACTTTTAATGTTCCAGGGGTGCAACAGCACTGCCACTTCCTCAAGGCAAGCATGGGGGGCATGACATGGGGCATGGGTGGCCGTGGGGGCCAGGAGGTGCATGGCGGGGCGAGGGAGGGGAGGTGCGGTTGACGTTGCTGTACGACATGCTGGTGGTGGCTGTGGGGGCCGTGGGGGCACAGTCAATGTGCCTGGCGTGCAGCAGCACTGCCACTTCCTCAAGGCAAGCACTGGCCATCACGAATGGGGCACGGGCACTGGGAAAGGACCCTGGCACTGGCCACCGGGCAAGAACCCAAGCTCTAGGCCGGGAGGTGCACTTCACAGTGCCGTACGACATGCTGGTAGTGGCCGTGAGTGCCGTGCCCAACACGATTGATGTTCCAGGCGTGCAGCAGCACTGCCACTTCCTCAAGGTGAGCATGGGGGCATGGCATGGGGCACTAGGCGAGGGAGGTGAGGTGCGGTTCACAGTGCCATACGGCATATTGGTGGTGGTTGTGGGAGCGGTGCCCAACACGTTCATTGTTCCAGGGGTGCAGCAGCACTGCCACTTCCTCAAAGTGAGCCCCGGGCACGGGGCATGGGGCACGGGGCATGGGGCATGGGGCACTGGGGCACCACGCTCTGGGCATGGGCATGAGGCACCGCCTGGCACTGGGCACAGGGCAAGCACGGAGCACGGGGCACTGGGGCACTGGGCATTGGAAGCACCAAGGGTGGAACAAGTCCCTTGCCACCTCAAGGCAGGCACCTGACGGATGGTTGTTGTTGCAAGTGCCAATCGAGCCCCATTTGGAGGCCATGGTGCAATACGTGGCAGCAACTACTATTTTCACAGGCACCTGATGGATGGTTGCTGTTGCAAGTGTCTTTGCCCTGCATCGACTTCCCTGCTTCCCTGCTTCCCTGATGGTGAGGCGCCGCTGCCCTCTTCATCCTGTGCTTACCCTTTTTGCATGTTTTGCATCTTACCTGCCTCCTCAATTCCGTTCTCCCTACACATTCCCACCCACCCCCTTCTCCTCATCATCCCTCCCTCCGCCAATTTCTGTCTCCGCCCCATTCCCCAGTTCCCCCACCCATCTCCCATACCTCTCTCCCAATCTCTTCCCCCCATCCTTTCCCCCCATCCCTTCCCCCCATCTCTTCCCCCACCCTTCCCCCCCTCCCCTTCCCCCCATCCAACCCTTCCAACCATCCCGTCCCCCCATTTCTTGGTGGATGTTGCAGAGGGCATCAGTAATACGTTCATCGACTGCTTTGATGCAGCCCCCCTTCAACCCCTATCCCCTTTCCGCCCTCATCCCGCTCCCCCCATCCCTCTCCCCTTTCCCCCTTCCCCCATCCCGTTCCCCCCATCTCTCCCCTCTATGCCACTGCACACCTATTTCTCCCGCTGCCAGTCGCTGGACGATGCGGAGGCCATCAGAAACACCCTCATTGATCCCTGCGAGGCGGCCCCCTTTTCCCCCCATTCCCTCCCCACATCCATCCTCCACCCCCCTCCCCCCCCACCAATCGCTGGACGATGCAGAGGCCATCAGGAACATGCTCATTGACCGCTGTGAGGGGGGGTGCCTTATCCCCCATCCCTCTTCCCCCCACCCCCCTTCCCCCCACCCCCCTCCCCCCCCACCAGTCGCTGGATGATGCAGAGGCCATCAGGAACACGCTCATTGACCGCTTCGAGGCAGCTTGCCTGCCGGGAATGGATGCAGACGAGCAACAGAGGTAACCTCTCGTAGGAGATGCAGAGATAGCAAGCTAGGTCCACCGTGCCCCGTACTGTGTTGTTCTGCTCTCCTCCCTGTAGCTCCCGCCCCCTGTTTCGTTTCCCTCACTCGCCGTCGTCTCTCACCCTCCATCCATCACTTCTTTGCCTCTCCTAGCCTTCCGCCACTACCTTATGCACCCGTCAGTGCCACTCTGCATCCCTTTGCAAAGAAAGCTTGCAGACTTGTACTCAAATCCTCTTTACTCGCTATGCTCCTCCGCCCAACCCCCAGTCCACACCCCTCCCTCACCCCCGAACTCTCCCCTCCCACCCCTCGCCCCTTGCCCCTCGCCCCTCGCCCCATCCACCACTTTCTTGCCCATCCCTCCCTCCCCTCTTGCCAAGACCCTATTTTCTTGTACACTCTCGCTGCAAGCTGCCGCAGCACTCCTCTCCACCCATCAGCACCCCTCTAAGGAGAGATCATTGGCAGTCTCTACGCTTTCGGCCACTGCGACTTGCCATGTCTCTCGCTCACTGCTTGCCCGCCTGATCCCCTGCACCGCTCGCCCCCCGCCCCTCGCTCCCCACTCTCGCTCCTCACCCCTCGTGCCTCACCCCTCGCGCCTCACCCCTCGCGCCTCACCCCTCACTCCCCAACCCTGCCCCCAGACTGAGGTGAGGTGTAAGATGGTGCAGCCTCACTTCGTGTTGCCTAACCTTCTCATCCCATCCATCACCCCTCTCCCTCCAGGCTGCTGCACGTGGAAGGCGGTCTGGAAGGCGGTCCCACAGCGAGGAGGTAAAACGCAAGGAAGGGGAGATGGTGCATCACTTTTTCTCCGATATCCCTATCACCTTCCACCCCAGCCTGCAGGCTGCTGCACGTGGTGGTGGTGGGGGGCTACACGGGGGTGGAGGTGAGATTGAGATGTGAGATGGCGCCGCCTCTTCTTCGCTTACCTTCCCATCACCCCCCATCCACCCGCCAGGCTGCTGCACGTGGTGGTGGTGGGGGGCGGCCCCACAGGAGTGGAGGTGGCAGCAGCAGTGCACGACATGGTAGAGGGGGACCTCTACCGCCTCTACCCTGCCCTCAAGGGCAAGGCTTCCGTCTCTCTCCTGCAGTCAGGGGATCACATTCTCAACATGTGAGAAGCGATTGAGTTCTCTCATGGGATTTGGCTTGTTTCACGGCGGTAGAGAGGTGGCAGCAGCAGTGCATGACATGGAGCAGGGGGACCTCTACCGCTTGTATCCCGGCCTGAAGGGAAAGGCTTCTGTGTCTCTGCTGCAGTCAGACGACCACATCCTCAACATGTGAGATTGGATTGGGTAATCTGAGGGGGGCCATTTGTGGGACCACTACCGTCAGTACCCTGGCAAGGGTAAGGCGACCACATCCTCGACATGTGAGATGAGTTGGACTGCTCTCAGGGGGGTTAGCTTGCTGCTTGCCTGACAGGGGGTGGGATGGGGTTTTTGCAGCAGTGCACGACATGGTGCAGGGCGACCTTTATCGCCTCTACCCCACACTCAAGGAAAAGGCTTCTGTGTCTCTGCTGCAGTCAGGCGACCACATCCTCAACATGTGAGATTGGATTGGATACCGACAGGGGCTTTTGAGGGGCCTGACAGTGGTGGAGGGAGGTGGCAGCAGCAGTGCACGTCACGACCTGTACCGCCTCTACCCTGCCATCAAGGGCAAGGCGTCTGTCTCTCTACTCCACATGTGAGATGAGATAGGGTGCTCTCAGGGGGTGCTCTCAGGGGGTGCTGTCAGGGGGTGCTGTCAGGGGGTGCTGTCAGGGGGTGCTGTCAGGGGGTGCTGTCAGGGGGTGCCTTGCTTCACAGGGGTGTAGTGCGATCAATACCGGCAGTACCCTGGCCCCAAGGCTAAGGCGTCTTACTCCAGTCAGGCGATCATCTCATCTCCACAACATGTGAGATGAGGCGGGGTGCTCTGATGGGGCTTCTGGGGTGAGGCATGCACTGCATGGCACAGGGGACCTGCACCGCCTCTGCCCTGTCCTGCTCTTAAGGGCAATGCCGCTGTATCTCTGTTGCAGTCGGGGGACCACATGTATCTGTATCGCCTCAGTGAGGGGCAACACCTCTGTATCTCAACATGTGAGATAAGGTGCTCGCAGGGGGTTTCAGAGGCATGTGGTTTGATGCATGACGCGGTGGGACCTGCACCCTTGCATTTTCATGGGAAACGCGTCTCTTTCGTTGCTGCAGTCGGCGTTGATTTCTCAGGTCCCTATAAAGTCAAGCAGTCTGCTTGTTGTGTTGTTTCGAGGAATTTTGAGGCGCTGACTTGACGATGCACCCCTGTGGATTGGCAAGTCCTCACGGCCCTCCCCCTCTCAGCTAAAACCTCACTTCCTCCCAACATCCCCCTGCCATTTCCTGCCCTCTCCTTGTTTCCGCTCTGCCCTCTCCCTGCCTTCCTCCTGCCCTCCCCCTGCCCTTCCCATGCCTCCCCCCTGCATCCCCATGCCACCCGCTATCAGGTTTGACCTGCGCATATCTGAGTTCGCTGCTCGCAAGTTCCAGAGGGATGGCATCACAGTGCACACGCACGCGCGCGTCACAGCTGTCACTCCGCGTGCCCTCTTGGTGCGCGAGACGAGCAGCAGCAGGGGGAGCGGCAGCAGCGATGGCAGCAAGAGTGGAGGGCATGGCCGCAGCAGTGCGGAGAGCAGTAGTGGTGCAGAGAGCAGGGGGGAGAGGGAGGTGCCGTATGGAGTGGTGGTGTGGGCAACGGGCATCACGGCCCACCCCCTGGTTGTGACGCTAAGGGAGCAACTGGGGCAGGTAAGGTTTGGGCAGGTAAGGGTTGGGGCACGTACAAACTGTGAACAGCAGGAGGCAAAAAGCAGGAGGCAGGGCGAGGTGCTGTATGCGTATGGAGTGGTGGTGTGGGCGACAGGCATCACAGCCCATCCCCTGGTTGTGAAGCTAGGGGAACTGGGGCAGGTGAGGTTTGGAGCAAGTTCAAACTGTGAACAGCAGCAGTGGTTGGAAGAGCAGCAGGGGGAGGTGTAGTATGGGTATGGAGTGGTGTTGTGGGCGATACACATCATGGCCCATCCCCTGGTTGTGAAGCTAAGGGAGCAACTGGGGCAGGTAAATGGATGAGAGAGTGGATGGCAGTGAGTGGATGGTAGTGAGTGGATGTGGGCGCTGGGAGACTGTGCTGCCATTCACCACCGCCCCTTCACTGTGAGATGGAACAGATGGTGCTTGCCTGTTGAACCTTGTGCACCGCCCCTTCACTGCTTGTGAGGCGGGCAGCATGTGGGCGCTGGGAGACTGTGCTGCCATTCACCACCGCCCCTTCACTGTGAGATGGAGCAGATGGTGCTTGCCTGTTGAACCTTGTGCACCGCCCCTTCACTGCTTGTGAGGCGGGCAGCATGTGGGCGCTGGGAGACTGTGCTGCCATTCACCACCGCCCCTTCACTGTGAGTTGGGTTAAGGCATCTTGTGAAGGCAGATCATGAAGCAGGCAGAACGTGAGGCAGGCAAGCATTTTCCTCAAATCGAGGCACTTTGTATCGTCCCCTCCTTTTGACCTCAACAGTGTGGTTCTCTGTTGCACTCTTCTTTCCTGTCTCTCTTCCCCCCGCCATCCACGCTACAACCCCTCATACCATCAAACCGATTTTAAAGAAGATTCGTCACATCTTTCACTTCCAACCCAGCAATTTCAAGAAGAAGAAAATACTGTCATTGCATTCCTCTCGTACCATGATCATGCCCCACTATGTCATCACTGTGCGGCCAGGATGACACAGCGCGCATCTTCCGAGGCTTTGACACCAACGGTGACGGCTGTCTCTCTCCTTCCGAGACCAAGGCGGCCCTGCGAGCCCTCCAGCAGCGCTATCCGCATGCTGCTGCTCTGCTCAGGTCACGAGATCGCATGGCACAGCTCATTCAGGTAATCCCCCCGCTTGGTGTCCCCAGTCTGCCACTCACCTTCTCTGCTCAAGTCAAGAGACCGCATGATGCAGCTTATTCAGGTATACCCCCCTTCCTCGCCCGCTCCCCTACACTCTCCGAGACCAAGGCGGCCCTGCGAGCCCTCCAGCAGCGCTACCCGCATGCTGCAGCGCTGCTCAAGTCACGGGATCGTATGGCACAGCTCGTTAGGTACGGCTCCCTCCATTTCCGTGCTGCGCCCAGTCTCTGGGTCCAAGACAACTCTTCGAGCCCTCATGGTAGATCTGTGCTACCCGCATGCTGCTGCTCTGCTTAGGTCACGGGACCGCATGACGCAGCTCATTCAGGTATACCCCCCTCCCCTCCTACGCTGCCACTGTCTTGAGTCAAGCGATCTCTCTCTGGGAGATGCGGATGTGTGCGGTGCGGTGCGGTTGGGGGTTGGCAGTGTGCTGAGGGGTCAGTCAAGGCACCCCACCTTCATGGGGCAGAGGACGGCTGTCTCTCGCCCTCGGAGACCAAAGCAGCCTTGCAAGCCCTCCAACAGCGGCGCGCTACCCGCATGCTGCCGCTCTGCTCAGGTCAAGGGCTCATTCAGGTACACCTCCCTTCCCTCCCCTTCTGCCCTACACTCGCTGATGCCAAAGACGGCCCTGCGAGCTCTCCAGCAGCGTTACCCGCATGCTGCTGCTCTGCTCAGGTCACGGGACAGCCCATCCAAATACACCAAGGCGACCTCCCTTTCCCTATCGTGTGCCTCTCTCTGAGACCAAGACGACCCTCCCAGCTCTCATGCTATAGCTGTGCTGCCCCCATGCTGGAGCAGATGGAGCTGGGAGATGTAGGGTGATGGATTGGGGAATTGGGGCGCGGCAGGTGCAGCTTGCGCAGGTAGAGAGGAAAAAAAATATCAGGAGGGGACTGTAGATTCATATTTGCTGGCATCAGATAGACCTGTCACCATTCTGCCCTCCATCCACATCCCATCCTCCTGTCACTTCCACACACTCCCTTCTCCCGCCCGGGTCCTCCTCCCCTCTTCCTGTTCCCCGGTTTCCAATTCCCTCACGAATGGGCTTTGGCAGGATGCATTGCATGCGGACAGCAAGGCAGCAGCACCAGCAGGAGCACCAGCAGCAGCACCGACAGATACTCCAGCAGGCACAGGGGCGCCGGGAAATGTGGGGAACGAGCAAGCGTGCGAGGGCAGGGGCCTGTCGCTGGAGCAGTTTGAGGTGGTGCTGCGGCGGGTGGAGGGGCAGATGAAGACCCTGCCGGCCACGGCACAGGTGGCGGCGCAGCAGGGGCAGTACGTGGCACGCTGCTTCAACCGCCTGCTGGATCCGGCTTTAGCGCCGGAGGGGCCGCCCAAGCTGAGAGGCGAGGGCCGGCACCTGCTGCAGCCGTTCCGGTGAGTGTAGGGTTGGGATGGGTGGTGGGATGGGTGGCGGGATGGGATGTGGTGGAGCTGGTTTCGATTATTGTTATTGTTATTGTCATTACTACTATTATTCTTATCATTATTACTCTTGTTATTGTTTCTGTGAATGTTTTCTATCATTATATTCAGTCTTGTGGACGTTTCTTAGTGTGCATCAACGATCTTCGGAATCAGGTTCAATTGAAAAAGGAAGCAAGAGGGAGTGATACTGGCGGCCTTTCCGACAGAATTCTAACAATCTGCCTCTCGCTCACACATCTACCTGACCAATGCTTAATCTGTTTCAACTGCCCTCTTCATCCAAACTGCTCGATCTGTGCTGATTGTTTCTCACCCTCTCGTTCCCCTCCCTCCACAACCAGCTACGTTCATTTGGGGCAGTTCGCCCCGCTGGGGTCAGAGGCCACGGCAGCAGAGTAGCCTATCTATCCCAACCGCTCTCTTTGTGCCGATTGCTTGTCACCCTGCCCCCGACACGCATCCAGCTATGCTCATTTGGGGCAGTTTGCCCCGCTGGGGTTGGACAACACGGTCGGCTCAAACGCGACTCAAAAACCATTTTGCTCCTACCTTCCCTCCATGCAACCAGCTATGTGCATTTGGGGCAGTTCGCCCCGCTGGGGTCGGAGATCATGGCTGCGACTTTTGTGATGTCTGGAAACTCACCCGCCTCGCTCCTCCCTCTCCCTCCCCCCTCCCCCCACACAACCAGCTACGTCCATTTGGGGCAGTTCGCCCCGCTGGGGTCGGAGACCACAGCAGCAGAGCTGCCTGGCGACTGGGTCAGCATTGGCCGGTCCACTCAGTGGCTCTGGTACTCTGTCTATGCCAGATGGGTGTGCTGTGCAGTATGGGGGCATGCATTCCTGTGCTTGGATTAGGGGCTCATGGAATGTGGCGGGGCTGTTCACCCCTCTGGAGCTGCCTGGCGACTGGGTCAGCATTGGCAGGTCCACGCAGTGGCTCTGGTACTCTGTCTATGCCAGGTGGGTGTGCCGTTCAACACTCTGTATCCCCAGGTGGGTGTGTTGTGCAATGTGGGTGCGTGCACTCGACTGGGTCAGCATTGGCAGGTCCACGCAGTGGCTCTGGTACTCTGTCTATGCCAGGTGGGTGTGCCGTTCAACACTCTGTATCCCCAGGTGGGTGTGTTGTGCAATGTGGGTGCGTGCACTCGACTGGGTCAGCATTGGCAGGTCCACGCAGTGGCTCTGGTACTCTGTCTATGCCAGGTGGGTGTGCCGTTCAACACTCTGTATCCCCAGGTGGGTGTGTTGTGCAATGTGGGTGCGTGCACTCGACTGGGTCAGCATTGGCAGGTCCACGCAGTGGCTCTGGTACTCTGTCTATGCCAGGTGGGTGTGCCGTTCAACACTCTGTATCCCCAGGTGGGTGTGTTGTGCAATGTGGGTGCGTGCACTCGACTGGGTCAGCATTGGCAGGTCCACGCAGTGGCTCTGGTACTCTGTCTATGCCAGGTGGGTGTGCCGTTCAACACTCTGTATCCCCAGGTGGGTGTGTTGTGCAATGTGGGTGCGTGCACTCGACTGGGTCAGCATTGGCAGGTCCACGCAGTGGCTCTGGTACTCTGTCTATGCCAGGTGGGTGTGCCGTTCAACACTCTGTATCCCCAGGTGGGTGTGTTGTGCAATGTGGGTGCGTGCACTCGACTGGGTCAGCATTGGCAGGTCCACGCAGTGGCTCTGGTACTCTGCCTATGCCAGGTGGGTGTGCCGTTCAACACTCTGTATCCCCAGGTGGGTGTGTTGTGCAATGTGGGTGCGTGCACTCGACTGGGTCAGCATTGGCAGGTCCACGCAGTGGCTCTGATACTCTGTCTATGCCAGGTGGGTGTGCCGTTCAACACTCTGTATCCCCAGGTGGGTGTGTTGTGCAATGTGGGTGCGTGCACTCGACTGGGTCAGCATTGGCAGGTCCACGCAGTGGCTCTGGTACTCTGTCTATGCCAGGTGGGTGTGCCGTTCAACACTCTGTATCCCCAGGTGGGTGTGTTGTGCAATGTGGGTGCGTGCACTCGACTGGGTCAGCATTGGCAGGTCCACGCAGTGGCTCTGGTACTCTGTCTATGCCAGGTGGGTGCGCCGTTCAACACTCTGTATCCCCAGGTGGGTGTGTTGTGCAATGTGGGTGCGTGCACTCGACTGGGTCAGCATTGGCAGGTCCACGCAGTGGCTCTGGTACTCTGTCTATGCCAGGTGGGTGTGCCGTTCAACACTCTGTATCCCCAGGTGGGTGTGTTGTGCAATGTGGGTGCGTGCACTCGACTGGGTCAGCATTGGCAGGTCCACGCAGTGGCTCTGGTACTCTGTCTATGCCAGGTGGGTGTGCCGTTCAACACTCTGTATCCCCAGGTGGGTGTGTTGTGCAATGTGGGTGCGTGCACTTGACTGGGTCAGCATTGGCAGGTCCACGCAGTGGCTCTGGTACTCTGTCTACGCCAGGTGGGTGCGATGATGAAGGCCTTTGCTAGCTCTGGTACTCCGTGTATGCCAGGTGGGTTCGCTGCGCTCTGGGTCGACAGGTGGGAGCGCTGTGCAGTATGGGTGCATCCATGTGCTTTAATTGGAGGTCCACTCAGTGCCTCTGGTACTCCGTGTATGCCAGGTGGGTGTGCTGATGATGACGTGTATGAGTTGACCGCTCTGGTACTCTGTCCAAACCAGGTGGGTGTGTTGTCCAACACTCTGTGTACGCACGCACGTAGGTGTGCTGTGCAGTGTGGGTGCATGCATTCCTGTGCTTGGGTAAGAGACTCCTGGAATGTGGAGGGGAAGGTCGCCCCTCTGGAGCTGCCTGGCGACTGGGTCAGCAATGGCTCCGGTACTCCGTGTATGCCAGGTGGGTGTGCCGTGCAGTATGGGTGCATGCGTTTATATGCTCGGACTGGAGTCTCTTATGATCCTTGCAGCAGAAATGCCGCAGCACCTCACTTACCTATGCTTCCCCGTGTCTCATTGTCCTTGCAGTAAGCAGGTCAGTGCGAGGACAAGAGCCCTGGTGGTGTTTGATTGGATCAAATCTGCTCTGTTTGGCCGTGATTCAAGTTGCATGTGAATAGTATATGGGGTAAACCCTGCGCTTATATCCGTAACCCGTTTCTCGATTGTAAGCGCAAACAAAATTTTGTGTTACATTGTTAACGCATTTCCAAGTTACTCCCAATTCCATCATACCTAGTGTAACTGGTGAGCCGAAACAAACAAGACATAGTCATATGGTACTCTGCCCAACCCATCTGATTTCTTGGTTGTCACAACAGAGGCTTTTGAAGAGATGCATACCACATTCACGATTATGGAACGGACATCTCGCGGTAGTGAGCACTGAAGTGAGCACTGAGCAGACACACTCGATGGCCTCCCGTGGTGGTGGCATAACAAGAATCACTGTGGAAGCATGCATGGACTGCACGGCATCGGCAAAATGCACATGAAACCCATCCACAACTACAAGCCCATCCTCTCATGCACTGCACATAAATGCATTTCCCTAAACTGCATCCACCTGCTTTCTCCAAAACCTGTACCACACTGGGAGCCACGCTCTCCCTCAGCTTGAACACGCTGTCAATCACCGACAGCTCGGTTGCTGTCGTGTCAAACCCTGCGAATGCCACCCAGTCATTCGCCACGAGCCCCGCCCCCACCACCTCACTGCCGCGGTTCACTGTGCCCGCCACCAGCGGCACTTGTAGCAGCAATGAGAGCTCGTCAAGGTCTTCCACTGATGTTTGCGGGTGCACCTGGTGGCATGGTAGTGGTCAAACACGCACACAAGGGCTGTACGCATGAGCATAGGCTGATCATGCACTTGGGTGGGACCATCCCGTGCACAGGAGATGTACGCACGAGCCACTACAACAATACAATACACCAGCACGACTTTTGAGGCGCCTCAAAAGAAGACACAATACACCAGCATGTGAGTACGGGTAGGTGCAAGAATAGGCAAGGCCACGGCTGTTGTGAAGCATGGTGCTACAGACTGGCTGTGCACTGGAGTGGCATGGAGACGAAGCAGCGGGAGGGAGTGCGACAGACTGACCAGGCCGCCCCAGTTGGTGAAGACGCAGTAACTGCCGGTGTTACCGTCGACGGTGTGACGGAACAAGCTGACTTCTGAGTCAACTCAAAAGTCAACACGAAAAGGCAGTGAGAGTGCGAGTGATTGACCAAACCACCACGGTTGGTGAAGACGCAGTAGCTGCCGACGAGGATGTTGCCGGTGATGGTCTGACAAAACACCTCCACCCCCAACACGTCCGGTATGAGCTCCTCCGTCTCCTGGTGGAGAGAGAGGAGCATGGGGAGAGCCAGACAGAAGACACGGGGCACACGAAAAACACGGGGCAGAGGGAATGCATAATGAGGCAATGGTCTTACGGAACACCTCCACCCCCAACACGTCCGCTATGCGCTCCTCCGTCTCCTGGTGGAGGCAGCATGAGGCAGAGAGAGGTAGAGTGAGGAATGTAGTATTGAGGCAGAGGAATGCGGCACGAGGATTATCGCAGCAATAGGCAGGAAGCGTAGTGGACAGAAATGGTCTTACGAAACACCTCCATCCCCAACACGTCTGCTATCAGTTCCCTGTCTGCTGGTGGAGGCAGCACGAGGCAGAGAGAGGAATACAGTATTGAAAAGGGAGGGATGCAGTAGGGTGAAGGATGCAGCATGTGGCAGAAGAATGCAGCAAGAGGTGGGAACCGCAGTCGACAGAGCGAGGGAGAGAGGTGTGAGGGAATGAGGTGCAAACAGGCATCAATGCCTTCAATAACCACTACTGGAAAATGGCAGCGGCGAGAATAACTTGAGTAAAAAGGACGGCGATGTGGCAGGAAGGAGCGCGGGCTCCGAAAGCAGAGTGAAGGCCAAGCCAGCGGCGCAAGGAAAGCAAGGCTAGCAGGCGGCGGCGCTCAGGGAATACAAGCCAGAGTGAAGGGCTCATGTCACACGTGCGTGCGATCACCCACTGAACAATCCTCATCACTTCACCCATGCCTGGCTTGCGATGGAAGCGCACGGGCAGGCACGCGCACAAGAAACGTGACAAGCAGAAGCACATGTATATTGTAAAGGCGTAAGAGCAGAAACGGAGGTGAGGAGGCGAGTGGGCGCTCAGGGAATACAAGCCAGAGTGAAGGGTTCATGTCTCACATGTGAGATCACCCACTGAACGATCCTCATCATTGCACCCATGCCATGCCTGCCCTCACGTGCAGCTGGGCTTGTCACAGCATGAGCAAGAATCGTGCGATGCAAGCGCAGCAAACAAGCAGGGGCACTCGCACAAGAAACTTGACAGAAAGATTGTCGTGGCCGCCGATAAGCAAGCAAACGGCGACGGCGACTGTGGAGGCGACGGTGAAGCGGGCGCCGAGGAGGACGTGATCCCAGATCGTGATGCAACTGCAGCAGACGATGATGATGTGGAGTCTTGGTGGCGCGACGCACGACACGAGAAGTTGCTGATACTGACGTATCCACCGATTAACAAAAAACGACCCCACCACTCCTCCGAGAACCGAGATGCCCGTCCCCCCTCTCCCAGGCACAAGCTGTCTCAACATAAACGGCAATCCTACACCGCTCAGGAGAAACTGAGGTGACTCGTGCGGCTGGAGCTTGCGTCATCAATAAGCGAGGTTGCGCAGGAGTCCGGCATACACCGAAAATGCCTGACGGAGTGGAAAACTCAAGCGGAGCAGCTCAGGGCTACACACGGCGCACGGTGTCGACTTCATGGGCGCGGGAAGTGTTCTTAGTACAGACCCATGGAGTTAAAGGTGTACGCTCAACTCCTCGACTGGAGACGCCGTGGTGCTGCAGTTTCAGTTGGCCAGCTGCAAGACTGGTCACGCGAAGTGATGAAGGTGCTGTTTCCGGAAGTCAACTGGAAAGGGAGTCAACGGTGGTCAGAGCGGTTCTGCAATCGGTGGAACCTCACCGTGCGCATGAAAACTAAGGTGTTGCAGAAAACACAGCAGCATAAGTGCCTCGCTTCCCGTTTACTTCGAGCGAAGTCGCATGGTTTCTGAATTTGGTTGCTCCTGTGTGCATATAATTATCCTGTAGCGGTACTCATCCGCCCTTCCATGATATCTATCCTTCCCGAACCGTGCGCAGACGTGGCAAAGCAGTGCAAAGAATTTTGGAAGTTCGTCCGCGACTCACGCAACGGGTATGATATCGACAATTGGTATACCATCAACGCTGACTAGATGCCTTTGTGGTTAGAGATGCAGGTGGCTACCACGGTGGAGCAGACGGGCGTGAAGTTGGTGCCCATCCGCAGCGGTGGTTACCAGAAAGAAAGAGTCATCGTGATGCTGGCGTGCATGGCGACGGGCAAGAAGTTGAAGCCGTGGGTGTTTTTTGTCAACGGGAGTTGTGTGTTGGCCCCGTCCTCGCTTGGGCGGAGCCGACTTCATGGTCGGGTGTAGGGGTGCAGCCGACCTGTAGCAGTGGGCGAGCTGGATGACGGGGTTGGTCGACTTGCACGGGGAGCCACTGCATGGGCGCCGACTTTGGGAGGGCGCCAACTTCGTATGGTCGACCTAGGAAGTCGACATGCAGAGGGCGTCGACCTGGTGACGCCAACCTGAGGCAGCCGACTTGGATGGTCGGCTGACGAGACTGCTGGTCGACTTGGTTGGTCGACCAGGCCTGCTGGTCGACTTGGTGGTTGGTCGACCAGGTGTGATGTCGACCTGGTGGTTGACCAAACTTGGTGGTCGACGAAGGAGGGGCCGACGTCGACCTCGGCAGAAGGAGTCAGGACGCCGAGCTGTTGGGCGTCAAGTAGCAGGGCGTCAACTTGGTGACGCCGACTTCGGGTAGCCGACTTTGGGGTCGGCTGACAACTGTGCTGGTCTTTGAGGAGCTGGTCAACCAGGAGTGACGTCGACCTGTAGCTGGTCGACCTGGGGTAGTGGTCGACCTGGTGAGGTCGACTGGAGGTGGCCGTCGACTTGGGAGGTCGACGGGCATGCACACACGGGAGTAGCTCGTCGACGTGGTTGCCCGGTCGACCAGGTTACCTGGGTGACGAGGATCTGCGAAGGCACGCGAAGGTCGTGCTCGGTGGTGGTATCCCGAGGTCGACGTGGCTGATCAGAAGCAGTCATTAGCACGAAGTTGACTTGGCGTGTGCGCTGTGCAGGTGACGAGGCACTGCACGCCAATCATCTGCGAGCACCTGCGAAGCGGGTGCGCTGCTGTCCTGCGGGAGCAACGCTGGCAAGCCGCGACTCTGCACTACTGGAACGCGGTCGACCAAGTCGTGCTGGCACACGGTCGACCGTGCTGCGCTGGCAGTAGACTTGCTTGCATGCTAGCTCTGATGTAGTCTTGCCAACTTCATTGTACCATTGTTGTCAACCTTTCTT